CAGGAGGGAGAGACACCCCCCTACATCCCCCCAGCGTGGCTGCCGTTTGAGGGGGGGGTGTCAGCCTGCGTGTTTGGGGGACCCCCTCAGGCTGGGCCCCAGGCCCTGCTCTGGGGGTGCTGGAACTGGGGGGGGGGGGCCAGGGTGTCCCCCCCCATCGCACCCACCTGCGCGACACGCGTGGGTGCCCAGCCTCCTCTCGGCAGGCGCAGAAGAAAGGAGGCCTCCGCAGCTGTGGCCGCCTTTCCCCTCAGGGCTGTTTGCTCAAGTTTTAGTCACCTTTGGGGGTGTATGTGCGGTGCCCGGCTGCGTTTGCAGTGTTTGCTTTTCCACAGGTCACAACGGGTAGAGTTAGTGTGGGCTTTCTGCTAAGCTGGACAGGAGATGCCTTTCTTGTCAGGATTTTTTTTCCCTCTTTGACTTTAAATTAATTTAATGTCTCTGAAGGGAATTGGTAATGGTGTCGTTTATATTGCAGGAAAAAGAGCTCTCCCCAAGTTCCTTATGCTCCCCAATAGGTGAGCTGCTTTTCCTCAAAAAAAAAAAAAAACCCAAACCTGAACCCCCCCCTGCAAAAACCCACTGTAGTGACAGCAGTGTTTTAGCTCAAGGTATAAACAACAAGTGTATGAAACAGTGTTTTTTTCCATGAAAGGTTGAGGCAGTCTGGACCACTATTTCAGCTTAAAAGTAAAATTACTACTTATTGTCTGTAGCCTCTTGGAAGCCTTGCTTTGTTTAGGACAATTCAGAAAATCAGTAAGCGTGTGTGTGTGTGTTTCTTTCAAAACAAAGATTTTTGCCTGGAAAGTGATACAGTAAAGTTGGTGCATCTTGTCTGTCAAAGCAGTTGTATTAGCATGAACTGCCTATGTCGTTACAGGTTGTTTCAGTAAACTGCTAGACTAATAACAATTTAATTTGTTGTATTTGAGACAGGAGAGGCCCTAGCCTGACGATTAGTTCAAAAAGGCAGAGCAGGCGGTGAAGCAGGTATAAAAGACATGCCTTGCCTAAATAATACAGCAAGTCAGTAGCAGGACTGGGTTTAGAGCTGTAGCCTCCTGAGATTTGGCACACTGTGCTGTCAGACTTATGATGCAGCTGGAGATGCCCATGTCCCCATGACAGGCAAGGGTGGCAGAAATCCAAGAAATCCTCAGTATTTGTTTGGGAGAGCAATAAGAGCTTCTCACAATTAAAAGTTGTGCTTTTTAATTGTTTTTCTCCTTTATGAAGCTAAGCAGTGTGGGTGTTTCGAATGGCTTTCATTTATGCAATGGCATTTCAAGAAGGCATTCCCAAAACCACACCTCTCAGGGTGGGTAGTTTCTTCAGGTCTCAGGGATTCAGTCTACTCATTAAAGCAGAGGTGGGTGGGTGTCCATGTGGTCTCACTTCCAACAGGTTTTGCTCTGGGTTTCTTGGGTGGTGGTAGGGTCTAAAGAGTTTGACTTACCCGTGAAACAAGCAAAGGATGGGAGGTTTAACAAGTCAAGAGACCGAGGATTTCTTACTAAAGTGGGTTTTTTCTCCTTGTTACAGGTAACATACAAATGGCTAAGCTACACTCTGGGAGTTCACGTCAACCAGGCTAAACAGTAAGTATTAGTGCATCCCACAAACCTTTTGTTTTGTGGCAAAGCTTTGTTAATTACTGTTTTCATGATTGTGGTTGGTGTATTAAAATTATCTCTCTGGAAATATTTAAAAATCTTGCATGTCTTCTCAGGTACAGTCGGTTTTGTTATTCAACATGTCTTACTCCTCCTGTAGGTCTTGCCTTAACTTTGATGAGAGTTGTGCTTTAGAGAGCAGTGCTCAGCTGGACACCTTATGCTGCTTTATATCATAAATATGTTGGTCAGAATAGGTGTTTTAGCATTATATTACTACAAGAAATGTATGTAGCTCCTTTCATCCTGAAATACAGGTATGTTTTCTGAACTTGGCTCCCGTCCTGCAGACAGAGCTATGCATCTGTGAGAATTTGCTGCTGCGTATCCCAGTGTGGTGGGCTGACACCCACCAAAGAGGCTCTACCACTCCCCCTTCCTCAGCTGGACAGGGGAGAGAAAATATAACAAAAGGCTCGTGGGTTGAGATAAGGACAGGGAAAGATTGTTCGCCAATTACTGTCACGGGCAAAACAGACTTGACTTGGGGGAAAAATTAATTTAATTTATTGCCAATGAAATCAGAGTAGGATAATAAGAAATAAAACCAAATCTTAAAAACACCTTCCCCCAGGCTTAACTTCACTCCCAGTTTTCTCCACCTCCTCCCCCTCCAGCGGTGCAGGGGGATGGGGAATGGGGGTTGCAGTCAGTTCATCACGTGTTGTTTCTGCCTCTCCTTCCCCCTCAGGGGGAGGACTCCTCACTCATCCCCTGCTCCAGCATGGGGTCCCTCCCATGGGAGACAATCATCCACAAACTACTTCCTTGGCCAGCAGTGAGTCTGTCTTGGAGTCAGCTGGCATTGGCTCTATTGGACATGGGGAAGGTTCTAACAGTGTCTCACAGAAGTCCCCCCGCTACCAAAACCTTGCCATGCAAACCCAATACCCCCAGCTTAGGATGCCGTACATTATCAGTGGATATTGCTGGGAGCAGAGTCAGGAAAATGCAAAATAGCACTAGCGGTAGCTGCAGCTCATGTGTATGGCAAATGCTTATCTGCTCTGGTCGCCCTGCTGCGTAGTGCGTGACCCGTTATAAATACCTACTTGCAAGGTTTGATGGGCACAGGTAAATGTTTGAAGGATGGGGAAGTCAGCTGTGCTGTCAGAATGTTTTTGCTTCTCCAAATTTAGCATAAATATGTAGACTTGTCTTGGTGTATTTTGAAGAATAAAAATTACTGTAACCTTTTAAATATACTATAAAACAAAGAATGAGCTCTCAAGATTTCTGGGGCTGTTGCTACGCAGCAAGGTAAAGTTAAGCATAAGATTTGAAGGCTCCATAAGAGTGTCAAGTCCCATAATACAAATATTTTCTCTCCTTGTTTCTGGCTATAGCTTGGACCTAAAGGGGCATTTGCTGCATGCTCAGCTGCAGTGTACTGAGCCCAGCTTCACCTGTCTTGTTCAAACTACTAGAGAATCAGCTTGGGCATCTAATGTAATGAAGAGATTGTTTGGTCTGTTTCCTTTGCATGTGTGTGAATGATTTAGATGATGTGTAAATCTGAGTGTGCTTCAGTGGTGGTGTAGACTTTACTGGAGAGCTCTGCTGGGAACAATTCTGGTCATACAGTAAACTAGAAGGAGCCAGAGAACTTTTTGCTGTGAAGAGGATGGCCCAGGTGAAACGGAGGCACCTTCTCATACCCTTGAAAGCAACCTGGAGATGGAGAACTCCTGTGGTGTCTTTGTGCTTTAAACTCTCTCCTAGAAGCTGGAGAAGTGCCTGATAACACAAGTGAATTATTTTAGTGATTGTGCTGGCTGTGGCAGCATGGTAGTTGCAGTCCGCCTCTGTGACAATGAGGATCTTCCAAGTATTTTTACTAGATAGCATCCCCATGGAGTGTGTGGTAGTGTCTCTGCCCAGTCACGTGGGACACTCATCATAAATCAGTGGTATAAGTGGGAACTGAAAGCTTGAGTCTCAGCTCAATCTCGTCATCACTAATCATGCTCTTTCGTCCTGTTTCTGATCACTGTGTCAGTGGATGTAACTGGGATTTTATATCTACATCTGGCAATGTGTTCATGTACCAAAAATCATCAGTTCCTCTGTCAGGTGTTTCAGAATGCTGGGTTGTAATGAGGGAAATGGCCTTTCTCAAGGGGAGACTTTGGCACAAGCTGCCCAGAGGATGTGACACCATCTGCAACCAACTGTTAAAGCTTTGGGAACTTGTATTTGTTTCACCTTTGGTTTATATAGTTGTTGGACTGAGATTCTCCAAAGTGGCAGAGGAGTCTCAGTAAAATTAATTTAATCCTGGTGAAATAAGTGTGCTTATGTGAAATGTTTCCATGTCAGGCTGGCTTTACTCTTTTTTTATGTAAGCTTCACGGAAGGGGTGGTGACAGGCTCCTTCCTTTCTAGGTGATTAACACTGGTTTCTTTTGTGCAGGATGCTGTATGATTATGTAGAAAGGAAACGAAAGGAGAATTCAGGAGCTCAGCTTCATGTCACCTACTTAGTAGCAGGAAACCTCATCCAGAATGGACACATTGTGAGTGTTTCATTTCTCAAAGGTGTCTGTGAGCTCTTTGTTCTTGTGTCTTCCATCTTGTTTTGTAATCTTTGGGTTAAAAGCTGAACTTGCTCTCTTTTTCCAGTAACAGGCACAGTGTGTTTCTGTACATGTACAAAACAAGGCACTATCTCAGTCCCAGCATACAAATGATGGGGAGGAAAGATCGGTTGGTCATGATTTGGTAATACAGTGCTGAATAACGCACCAGGGTTTTTCTTTAACTAACTTAAATGCTGTTACCAGGCTTCTCTCAATCCTATCGCTATTATTGGACAGCAAAGATTATAAAATAGTCCGGAGGGGCCCTTGTGAGATCAGCTAATCCATTTCCCACGATCTGCTGTGGAGTCGAGAGTAGTGTTTGGAGAGAGCTTGGAATTCAGTTAGAATAGAATAATAATAAATAGAATAATAAGTAAATAGTAGTCTTGTTAAATAAAGCAACTTTTTTTTATCCTGGTATACAAGAGAAGCATAAATTTATTAACAGTATTTTGTATTTTAAATGGTTTGAGTTATTAAGCAAAGGAATCGCTACTTAATATATTTATTTTTTCTCGTTGCTCTTGTCAGATTTTCAAGAATGTTCTCTAAAATTTCAGACAGGTACCCCAGAGGTTTTTGAAAGAAAATGAGCAAATTGAGTGCCCGTTTCCCTTTGCTCTCAGAAGAATTCAATAACCGAACACTAAATGCCTTTGGCATTCCATGAGGTGTCTATTCCTGTTTTTAGATACCCAAATATCTCTTACAATACAATCCACAGTCTTCATTTAGCATTAGTACATCTCAAGGTGTCCTGGCTTTTATTTGTAGACTGGAAAAAAACCCCCGACAAACCTTTTTTTGTTTTTCTTAATAATAAACTGGTTCACATGCATACAATATTCTCTTTAAATCTCAAAATCTGCCTGAAATTGAAGATAATTATTTATTGCATTAGTTCTGTATAGTGGAATATGCTTATTTAAAGCAGTACAGATACTATCACATTTATAGCCTGAGTTTAACAAGTTTTCCCTGGATTTCTTTTGGAAATAACAAGGTAGCATGTCTTGGCTCACTAGAACTGGCCAGAGGTTTGTCAATGCTTTCTATTATTTTTAAATTTGCCGTAATGTATTTAAAACAAACAAGTGAATTCTGACACAGGAACAAATAAATTTTTTTTTAACTCTGTCTTAGCAGCTTGCATATTTTTAAAACAAGATCTACCAAGGTAAACATATAAAGGTCACTTTTTTTTTTTCCTGTTTTTAGATATCTTGTTTTTGAGTACTGCAATAGCAGCACCTGCTAAGAAAGGTGACCTGCAGGTGCAGAAAGTTGTTAGGGGCAGTGATGAAGCAATGCTGGGGTTAGGAATACCACACGAGGAGTTTAAAGTTGCTCCGAGTGGGTGTCTGAGGACTAGCCAGAGCAGGTGGGAGAAGATGTCAGGTCTGGAAGGTACTTCCAGAAGACATGCAGGTGTTGGAGTAACTGGTGGGTAGTATCTGGCACAAGTCAGTTTTGGGTAGGAAAGGGATGCGAGTGCTTCAGGTGCAGCCCTGTTTGCTGGTAATCCTGCACTACTGTCTGCTGTCAGTAGGTGTAGCCACAAGCCTGTGGAATCAACTGTGAGACTCATCTGAAGGGAAATACAGATAGAAATCAGTCACAAATAATTCTCATTGTGTCTTAAGCACTGCACGGTCTTTCCTTGCTGCTTTTTATTGGCCTTAGTGAGAGACGGAGCATCTCCATCTTTATTTACTGTTTCAGGTTGCCTATGTTTTCTTGCCTCCTACTCTTTTGCTGGCTAGTCTGTGGTTATTGGTTAAACACAAAATTAATGGTTGGATTTTGTCCAGTCTGTCTGTTTGGCTGCTCTCTGTATTAACTGCAGCTTGTTAAATGTCACAGAGCAGGTATAGTCCTTGAAGACTAGCTGTAGAGCACATTTCCAGAAACATTAATTTCTGCCTTTTAAATTAAAGCTTAATTTCTCATAGTGTTTTGTTTCTCTGGTGCTGTGTCTGTGCTACAGCTTGCTATGTTAGAGTTTACTGGCAATCTAAATACAAATGGGTGATGTGGGCTGGTGTGGCAGATATCTAGCAGTTGGGTCATCAGCTGCATTAGTTTTCTTTTCTCCACTGCACTGCAAGGTTGTTTAGTTTTCGTTTCATCTGTTTCACGTATCCCAGTGTCAGGAATGGAGGACAGAGGTTTTCTTTAGGGTTGTAGTGGTCTGTGAAACAGTCTAAAGCTCTGTCTTCCTACTTTTCTAATAAAACCTAGTGGCTGATGACTGTTTAAAGGCATTGGCAGTGTTCTTTGCAGCTATAAAGCTTCACCTATAATCAGTAGACTTTCTTATTCAATAGATAACTGCAAATATCAGTCTTATGTACAACATTTTTTTCAAATTTTAAGATTGCCATTTATTTTTTTACAGTGCCACAAGGTTGCAGTAGTGAGAGAGGATAAACTTGAAGGTAAGCAGATCGTGAAAATTATGTGGTTTTAACTATTTTCTTTGAAAGAACAGCAAAGCGAGTAAAGCTCAGAACTTGCCATCTGCACGTAAATGCCTAGTCAGGCTGTTGGGTTCAGGTGTGTACTTTTTGTACTAGCTTTTTCTCAGAATTTTGAATATCTGAGCCAACAGCTGTGTAACTTCACAGACTTGTGATTTGGGTCTGGTTTGGGTTTTTTTTTTTTCCAATGTTGAACATTTTAGTCAGTGATTCTTTTCCACCTCCCTCCCACTGCCAGACGGCTCCTCCTTAAAGGCAACAATATTTGAGTAGTGTACAGCAGTGTCTCACAGTGTTTTAGAACAATTGTGAGCTCCAGCTCCCAAGGATGTTGAAGCAGGTAATTCTAGCTAATGGTTAAATGCAGTTGCAGTCTCTTTGCCCTGAGTGATGTGGGTATTAGTTAAACGTCCCACAAGAATGCTCTCACTTTTGTCTGGGGTATTTGCTTTCACAGTAAAAGGTGAAAAAAACCCTACCACTATAACACTGCTTCCTGCAGCTGCTCTCCATGCACTGTCTGGTGTCTTACCATCTTTCCAGGGCTGGTCCTGCTTATGAGATCTGATCCATAACAATTGAAACACAACTGCAGGCTCTTCATCCCTTTCAAATAACATCTTTGGCATTTGAGAACATACTGTGGCATTTGTGACCTTAAATATCCATGCTAATGTTCTAACCTTGTTTGAAAGACTTGCCTTATTTTCCTTTTTGAAATCTGAAGTGGATTTCTAGCTAAAGTTGTCTTCATCAGGGTAGTAGATTGTCAAGCAGTGCAACTACTATCTGTCATGTTTGTTGAATTATGTGTGCTGCGTAATGTTCTGTTTTGCTGTGGAGGAAAGGGTTGTTCATGTTTTTTGTATTAGAAGACAGGCCAAAGGTATGACTTACATTTGGAAGAGGCTGAGATTTGTGATGGGAGTAGGGCTGCATAGTCTAGGACTAGCCCCAAGAAATAATTACTGTGTATTTTCACAGTGCCTAGAAGCTCTGTCTCAGACCAGGACTGTGTGTAAAGAACAATATAAGCAATGAACAAAGAATCCCTAAAAACCAGCCCTTGTCTCAAGGGGGTTACAGTCTAAATAGCATAGAAGAGACAAAACATTTATTGCAGCACACTAGTAGAGAAGACATCTGTGACACTAGTTGATACAGTGGATGCTACCTTAATGGCAGAGAGCGGTTCCAGCAGGGCAGAGTTATGACCATCTATTTTCTTCCTTAGCTCTAGGTAGTCATATAGATATTCTGGATCCCAAACACTGGATGCTTTGAAGGTAAACACAGAGAGATTGCTCTTAATTCAGTTGTGGAAGAATCAAGAGTGTATAGTCAAAAACATGTTTGACAGGCTTGTGGAGTCTGTTACCTTGAATTCTCAATTAGTGACCATTGGAAGAAGGTGCAATTACACATTTCTATATTCAGGTCCTTGCTGTCAAGTGGTCTGTCAGTCTTTCTCCATCCTTGGTAGAGTCTGATACTTAAAGTTGCCACCTGATTCTGTAAAGGCTGTGCTAACAGAGGACTTTTTTTCTCCCCCCCGTCCCCCTCCCTGCCCCCCAGCAATGAAGTCTAAACTAGCCACGATTGCGAGTGTGCATGTCTACAGCATTCAGAAAGCCTTGCTCAAGGACAGCGGGCCACTCTACAACACAGACTATGATATTGTCAAGACAAACCTGCACAACTGCAGCAAGTAAGTTGCATCTTGGGTTTTTTGGTTTGTTTTTTTTTTTTCGTACGCTGTGTGATTTGAGGCTGATAGGATGTTGCTACGTAGTGCACTTCAGCAAAAGTCAATGGCTACCAGATATGCCTGGATTTTTAGAAAGCTAGAAAAAGATACCTTTTAAGTCATGCCAGATCAGTCCCCAAACAGCACACTGTATGATTGTTTCATAAACCAAGCTATTTCCAGCTTATAGTTGGTTCACTTGCTCCGTTACTCCAGTGGGCAGACGGTTCCAGTACCTTTCTTCTCTGATGGCTAGAAACCTTTTTCTCATTTCCAGGCCACACTTCATCATGACCATTTTTATCCAGGTCTCGGTCACACAGGAAGAGTAAATTGAAACAGACTTACAACAACATGAGTGATGCACTCAGCAAAGCGCTAACATGAGCTTGCCTTTTGTTTTCACCCACTGGACTCATCCACCTCCCTGAAGATGTCTTGCAGGAGCTCATTCTCCATATAGAAGATGAGAGCCTGAGGCACAGGGGAAGCTACAAAGCAGATCAAGCAGCACAAATGTCCTTCATGGTTGAACTAGAGAAAGGTTGTCCTGGAATTCAGAGGGACTTCAGTCTCCAGGGGTCATTGTCTCCCCTCCTGAACAGTGCCTGGCAGCTGTGGCTTTTCATTTATATGTTGTTTCCACCACAACAGCTTCAGCTTGATGTAATCAGGATGTACAGTGCCATGACCAATCTGGTTTAGAAGGGGGATGCCTGAATGTTGTGTCATAGAGTATAGAATTTGAAAGTAGAAATGTAGCTGTCTTCAAAACATTAAGAGAGTGGCTGAGAAAATAATGTCCTAGAAGTTGTGCATTTCAAATGTGAATGTCAGTACCCTAGTAAGTGCTAGAAAAGCCTGCTTCAGTGAAGATGTGTGCCGTAGGTTTGGCTGCAGTTGTCTTGTTCCAGTCTCTTTACTCTCAGGCACCCCTGCATGGCAATACTTGTGTCTTAGAGGAGTCTGCCTTTCAGACTGGTGCATCCAGAAGGTTTAGACAGTTCAGATTCTGAAATAGCTTTCTGAAGCCTACGTTTAAATTCCTGCCTGGCTTTGGAGCAGGATTTCCCAAGCAAACTTAAGAAAAATTCAGCTTCTTCATTTGTGACCTGGCTGAACTAAATTCAGACTGACTGTGTTCCCTCCCATTTGTCAACTACATGAATTGTCTCTTACACTTGGGGCAAAATTCCTGCAGTACCTGTAAAAGACAGAGGTTTAACTATGTGCATGTTTATAGCAAACAGAACCTACTGGCTTCTTATACTTCCCTCTCAGTCCATATATCTCATAAGCTCTGAGGCAAGGATCCTTATTCTCTTCTGTGTTTGTATGGGACCTGTTATGCTGTGGAGGTAGCTAGGTGTACTAATATAAATAACTGGATTTAATGTACATTGCTATGTCAGCTTTCCAAGTGGAAGCAGCTCCTTGCTTGCAGAGCATAGTCCAAGCATTGCTTGTTTTTTCAGTGATTATTTAGTGAATTTGGATCGAGCCCATAAACTATAGTCACACAGCAACATTAAGGCAAGTTAACTTCCCAAGCGCCTGGAATGTGTGAGGTTTAGATGCGCTTGCTGCACAGTCAATATAACGATTTACGATAAAACATTATTTGTAATCTGGAGGGTTGTTGGTGTAACTTACGGATGTGCGTGGAGTAGGAGTGAAAGCTGTCCAGAGTGTGGTGTTGACCATGTTGAAAACAAATTGAAAGTAGAAATATTTTTTTCTTCAATGTCTTCTTTCCTTCCTTTAAAGGTTTGAATGTCAAGAGATTGCTGCTGCAGCCTAGAAATGCTGTAGAGATGGTGTTGTTTTGTTAACACGTTACAATTCCTGATCTGAGTAGAAGTGGACTGTGCATGTGAGCCGCTAATGCTGAGGCACAGAAATTAATTGGCAGAAGACTGGTTTATTTCTTATGCAAATAAAAATACGCTGTGTAATTCAGTGGATTGGAAGGCGTGAGTCTGTGCTCTTTTGTGGCATTTCTGTAGGAAATCTGGAAAGCCTCGCCTGTGATTTGCACAGTGGGGAGTAGAGTTCAATTATTTTTGGGTGCTGCTATTCCTGACTGTCAGGGAATTGTATTGTAACTGTGAGCACATCATTTAGTTCTTATATCTCTGTATCCCCAAACAATCATGTTTCAGACTGTTAGAAGCTGAGATGTATCTCTGTCTACCAGTGATTACATGAAAATGACTTTATATAGTTAAGTCTGAATGTCATGGATATCTTCTGAGCCATTTAAGTAGTGTAGCTTCAGTTGTGATTTACTTACCTGGCTGGTGCGATTGTGGCTGCTTGTTGCAGCAGTAGTGGACTCTGTCAAAGCATCTGAAAGTTGTAAATGTTTTAGGTCATCAGACAGCCATACAATTTATGCTGCAAACTTTAGAGAGTGTAACCCATTTAGGAATAAAATGCAGTCTGCTCTATCTCCACCCTGGGTGTGGAGATGGGCTTTTGCCCCCCCCCCCAAAATCTGAACAGCTTGTTTAGCATTTGAATGCTCTGGCTCTTGCTGACAGGTTCAGCTGATCTTTTCAGTAGAGGTCTCCATCGCTCTTGTTCTGTGCCAGCCTGCCTTTCTTATCCCATGCACAAATTAAATTGCCTTTTTTTTTTTTTTTCCTCTCCGTAACAGGAGAGCACAGGACCAGAGAAGCAAGGCTCTACCAGAGAGGAAACTGAGGTGAAAAATAAGAAGTTAAAAGGCTAATTAAATTTTTCGCTCCATCACGCAGGTTTAGTGCTATTCACTGTGCCGCTGCAGTCCCCAGGACGTCAGCCGAAGTTCCTCAAGTGCAGACGTCTGTACAGGCTGGTTCCCAGACACCAAGTGACACGAATGCTGTCAGCGTACCTGTGGTCAACGGCCACGGTCCATCGACCGCAAAACAGACCGCGCAGCAGCCCAAAGGGATCATGGGAATGTTTGCAGCAAAAGCGGCTTCCAAACCCCAGGACACAAATAAAGAAACTAAAGCAGAGGCTAAGGAGGCCCCAGGCGTAAGTTACCTCAGACCCTTTGGCAGCCCTCTGGGTTAATAGCTTTAATGAACCGCTCTTCTAGCTTTGCCCGTACTCGACCTAAGTAACCTTAACAACCATAGTGCAGCCTCGTCCACTGCTTCTAGCGCTAAACTTGCTGTCCACTCGGAATGCTCAGTCACTGTCTTGTAAGTATTTAACTGTATAGTACAGATGTGCCTTCTGTCAGTCATCTTAGGAAAAAATGTATTGTGCCACATTCTTGATCTATCCACAAATGTATATTTGCCATAACTTTGGCGCTTCAACATTCTTCCTTGAGCCAAATCTCCAGCAAGTATAAACCAGCATAGCTGCATTATTGAGACAATTGTTCCGTTGTCTTCAGTTATGCCAATATATACACCAGTTGAGGATCTTGCTCTCTCCATTGTGCTTAAAAGGATTTGTTTTGAGCAGTAAGTGAAACGTGAGAAGTCCAGGTCTTAAAAGTATCAAGGTGTTTAAACTTGGTCTGCGATGGAAGTTTCAGAGCTTGACCTGTGCAAGACTAAATTGTTTATCTTCTCAAGTGCTGTTTTATCGAGGATAGGATTACGTTTTAATTAGTATAATTGTTTTTAAAGCAATTTGGCCAGTAAATGGGTATTAAAATGGTAATGTTCCCTGCATATGGTTTGGCTTTTTTATAACAGCTGAGTACATTTTGGTTCATTTTTCTGATTTTTATAGTGAATTTAGAACTGGTGAAATCTGTGTGTCTGTGTGTTTTGGGAACTTCAGTGTCTGGTTGCCTTTTCTTTTTTTTTTTTTTCCACGAGAATAAATGGTATTAGGAGGCCAGGCTTCCTTAGGTGTTTGGGGTTTTTTTTTTTCTGTGTGTGATTTTTTTTCACTTTGGTGGTGGCTATATTAATGGAATAGAGCAGTGATATTTTTTGCAAACGGCTCAGCAGAACAGTGTACGTGCCAGAGTAGCTGGATAAAGTCTTCATGGTTTGGCCAATCTGTGTTCTTTCCTCCGTCGGTTACTGTGAATTGAGGCGCTGATAGTTTGCAAAAAGAACAGTTTTTTACTGGGAACTGATCCAAGTCCCAACCACTTATTTCAGTAACACTGTCAGCCATCAGATGGGAATGCGACCCAAGTTAGATTTGAAGGCCTAGCTAAGGAGTTTTAAGTAACTTACTCTCGACCCTTTGATGCATGTAATATCTAGTATCTTCAAATTCTCCTAAACACATACTGAAATCTAAAGACACTGACCAGTCAACAAATTATACATATTTATTTTGCTTGTCCAGAAGCAGTACTAAGCATTTTGAGGGCTGTGTTGCATGAATAATTCTTGTGGTTACTCCTCTGTTTGCTTCTAGGTGTCTGCAGTAAGCAGCAAACCACCAGCAAAGGGCAACATAATGAACAACTTCTTTGGAAAAGCTGCCATGAGTAAGTGCTTTATAACATGCATCTGTTTTCAGAAACCATTATTGTCGGGGACCAGCCTGCTGTAGTTTATAACAAAAATAAAAATCTTGAGGGATATTGGAAATATCTCTTTTTTTTTTTTTTTTTTTTTTTTTTGCTAAGTGGCAATTAAAAAAAAATCACTGATACCAGATGTCTTGTTATACAGCTGTGATGGGAGTCATCAACAGAAAGTAGCAGAACTCTTCCTTCCCACCCCTTCCCCACCCAACTTGTTGGATTTTCTTTATATCCCCTGTTTTCTTACAGTTCTCCATACTATTCTTCTGCTCTTTTGGACTCAGAGGGGTTAATGTTTTTGTATGCGGCTCTTAAGGCAAAAATTAAAGGTTGTAAGTGGAATTTTTCAGACAAAAAGCTTGCTGGATGGAGATCAATTAAAATGACATATTTGTGCAGACTAACCCAGGAAGGATTTTTAGTGCAGAAGAAATCTGATTTAAAGTGAGTACTCCTGGCTGGAAGATTAGCTATTGGTAAAATGTTTGCCAAAACCTGTTCTGCAGGGTGTGTTAATGATGCTTGCTTTTCATCACAAATCACTGAGGAGTCTATAGTTAGATTTAGGGTTAATTTCTTTACTGAAAACTGAAGAGCTAATAACTGGAGGATAAAAATGAGGGGTGGCCCCTTTGAGCAGGGGTTTGGACTAGGTGGCCTCTGGAGGTCCCTTCTGACCTAAATTATCCAAGTCTAAAGAAAATATGCTGAAGCTTTTAAATAGACATTGGAAAAGGACTGTAGGACTTTCTTCAAAGATGCCCTTATAATAACAAGTACAAGAGGATTCAAAGAAGAGTTACTGGGATAGAGTAAATGGCAAGGTTCACTTTCTAACAGGCATCTGTCAGTTTGCAGGGTACAGTTCCAGCATTGAACACACAAGGCACAGTACTGTTGGGCATTTTTGAGTTCCTGTTTTTGTGAGACTGAGGACGCTTTCAGCCTAAGCCTTACAAGCCTAAGCACAGTTAACTACAATTAACTCAAGTAAATTCTAAAGATCTGAGAAGAGCCCTAGACCAAAGTTCATATGCTGAAAACCCAAGAAGTTGAAATTCTGTGGTAAAGATAAGCCAGTGGTGATGGAGAAAGCTTTGTGGATGCATTTCCACAATTTCCCATGGGGTTCACTTCTCTGCTGAGTCCTGCCAGGGAGCACTTCAAGGAAACTTGTGAGGTGGCTGCAGGGAAGGAGCAAACCAAGCAGAACTGGAAATGATTATGTGTATAGAAAAGATAGGGTGATTCCATGAGTAAGATTTATTCCCTACATGTTGTACATCTCTCCTGGCTTCAAGAGATTACACCATTGCCAGAAAGTCCTGAGTTAGCAATAATTAGGTCCTTCGGCTCTCTGCTGTTGATCATAAATAAGAGAGCTGTCATTCAAGTTCTTATGTTTTCCTTTGCTTGATGAAGCAGCCAACCTGTTTTCCAAGCAGTGTCAGAAAGGCGTTGGCATGAAGTCTTAGCCCTCTCGACAGCCTCTGTTCCTATTGACAATGTAGTTGATATTGTTGAATCCTTTTTCTTCACTCGGGCATCTTGTGCTTGGGATGATACAGGTTTCAAACTTGTCTGCTCCTCTCTTTTGATGGGGTGTGTGTAAAGCTGTTGAGTGAAGCTTACAGACTGTAATTAGGTGCTAGTGTGCTAACAGCACCATCTGTCAGGTTGATAAATATATTATTTTGCTGTCCACTCCCACCTGCTATCTGTTCTCTGGTACTAGATTAAGCCTTTTGAATTGTCCTTGTATGTGGTGCTGTGTAGGCAAAAGAGGCTGGTTCTTGATCACATTGGGGTTGGGGTGGGACGAGAAGCCACTACATTACTGAATACTAATCATGGGCTCTAATGTTATGCAGGATGGAGACTGTGCACACCTCTTGTTGCTCTTCGTCAGTCCTGATTCTCCTGTTTCTGGGCACTTTCATGCTTGACTAAAACCCTTGTTTAGAAGGGATAAACTGACTATAAAGATGGACATGGTTTTATGTCAAGGGGGCTGTCTAGAAGAGGGGCTTCCAACCCTTCTGTGGTGCCTTTGGTTCTGGTGACTGTCAGGGCTTCTGCTGCTGCCTCCTAGCCCTCTTCTGCAGAGTTTAACTGCTGCAGCACACTCAGCTTGCAGCATGCTTGGGCTGTGCCATCAGGAACAGAACCAAACTGGTATATCAGCTAGAAATTTAAGCATGCCCTTCTGTCATCTATGACACAGCTTGGTCAGTCTAGATCCCTTAATGCTGTTATATATCATCCATAGTGTTTTCTGTATTCTTGGTGCACAGTGTTTTGTTTAGCCAACTCCTTTGTAAGTTGTCATTCATACTGAATGCCCAGTGTTTGTTCTTTTTTAATGGTTTATTCACAGATAAACTCAAAGTCAACTCTGTGCCTGAGCAGCCAAAGGAGGAGAAAGAAGTAGTCAAGCCTTCAGTTCCTGTAGCAGAACCAGAGTCATCCCCTAGTCCTGTAGTAGAGAAACCTGGGAAGAAAACAGAGTCTGCTAGAATTCAGCAAAAGGACAAAAAAAGGTGGGCCACACCATTCATGGTCCCTGTAATCTGTTAACCTGCTTGTTGATGGCCTGCATGGAGCTGGCTGGTCATACAGCGCTGGCTCACCTCCTGTTTCCAGCTACTAAATTGCATTAAACCTGGCTAAAATTATCTCTCTTAGAATTCTTTCCTAATATTTCTTTTCCATTTGGTGCTGTAGATGCCTCAGGGCCATTTGTGCCATTGGAAATGGGAAGGGACATGGTCCAGGTAGTCTTCGGTTCGAGGGGGTGGCTTTCCATGAGACAACCTCACGCTGTGAGCAGACTTAGTATAGACCCTGCGGGCAATCTGTGGGGGCTGGCAGGAGCACCTGTACTGCAGGGAAGGTACTATATTCCCAAGCTTATATGTACACAGCTTCCAGCACACAAAGTTCTGCTTGTTGATTTCCATAGTTAATGTACTGCTGCTTTCAATGCCACTGGTTTACTTTGGGCTGAGACTCCAAGTAAATTTTAAGTTCAGCCCTTTGTGTTTAATCCAACCCAAACTGACAGAGACAAAAAATCATTACAGTCTGATGGCTCTCTGGTGGCCTATGAGTAATTAATTGGTGGTCTCAATCTGTTTCTAACTAAATAGGTAAGCATACCGCCCAGCCCACCATGGCAGTTAGTGCTAACTGGTCTTCTTATTGATAATCTTATTCAAAAAGCCAAGGGCCTGGAAACTGCATGTTGGCAGTGTGGTGTTGGGAAGGCCACTTGGGCTGTACCAGCTCTATGAGGATACGTGGGCCTTTAGCCTCCAGGCTTGTTAGTCTGACATGTCTCGCCAACATTAAAAAGAAAGGAGCTATTTTATTTTTCCAGTAGTCTTTAAAAATGGCTCCAGGATTCTGAGACACTACCTCATAGTCAGTCAGTGGCAAGCAGTCTGTCAAAAGAGCTTCTGAGCGACGCTGTTGGGGACATTAGTGTTTGGGAGCCTGAGCTATAGAGACAAGATCAGAAATGCCCTCTTGCCAGGTTGCTGTGGCCAAGCTAGGTGAGGTACTGCGCAAAACGTTGAACTGCAGAGGGGCTAAAGAAATCCTCCTTGTTTTGGAGACTTGGATATTGCTAAGGATGAGAGGCACGAAAATGCTCATGCACCTATGCCTGATCATATAGGCAAGTATACTTCAGCGTATGTGATGCTCATGTTTTTAAGAGGTACAGAGGTATTTGATTTCCTTGCTAGGAGTACGTCTGTCAGGAGCATGCTCATCTAAACATGCCTGATGTTTTCATGCACACACAAGGGATATCACATGTTTGTTCCTGTTTTTTTTTCCTTTTTGTGGCAGTAAAATGAAGAGGATGGACAAGTCGGATAATGAGGAAGAAAGAGTTCCTGAAAATCTAAAGAAAAAGAGGAAGCGAATCAAACAACTTCAGTCTGACAGCAGTGATGAGGAAGGTAAAAAGATGCGTAAACAACAAGGCATGTAGGTCAGGGGCCTGATTTAGACAATATTACTATCCAAGGCTGTTGGTCAACGATTGAGGGAATAGTTTAGAGGACTAAAGACCGTGCAAATGGCTGTAGCTTGAGCTGTCTGTTTATCTTGTGCTGCAGGCACTTGGGCATACATTTGAGATGCCTCAGTCATTCAGTCTTTGTTTTAGCTTAGCTCAGATCTGGCTGTCTCCTCACCAAGTGTGCTGCCAGTCATACTGACGTGTGGGAAGGAGGTTCTCAAATCTCTTGTGAAAGATATCGCGCCTTCCAGAATTGTAGGACTGGTCATAACCAGTTTATTTGGTGAGTAAACACTCGCAAAGTGACCTCCCCCCTCCCAGGGTCATTTTTAGTATCTTTATTCTGTCTGTTTATAGAAATGGTTTGGAAGACAGCATTGGAAGCAAGACTTCCAAAAAAAAAAAAATTAATAGAGAAACTGGAGGCAAAACAGTTGAGCCATATCCGATGCGACTCTGCGTCTCCTCGGTGGCTCTTGGCTTTGATAGGAGCAGGGTGCCCAGAACGTCACAAGATTGGGGCTTATAATGAGGAACAGCAGGGCCAGATTCCAAAGAATTTGGATAATTGAGGTGACAAATGCCGTTCAATATAGATAACTGGAAAATAAGTTGGGATTGAGCTAGGGAGTATGTGCGAAATGGAACAGTCATCCAACAAGCTGATCAGGAAAAGAATTCGGTGATCATTACGGACAAATAATTGAAACCACCAGTTTGGTGTACAGCTCCAGTAAAAAAAGGTGAAACGGCAAACAGGTTGTATTAGCGAGGAGGTGGACTCCAGCAGGAGAGCTGAAGCTGTTTGCTTATTTACTATGGCTAGCACATGAGAAACAAGCACAAAATTAAGAGAATCTGTAATACAAGTTAGACAGGCGAATATTGTTGGATATCTTAGCGGTCTCCATGCCACCTTAGGCCTATTTTCATGGTTTCTTTCTGCCCAGCATAATTTCAAGTGATCTCTGTCATCAGGCATCCATCACTTCTACTCAGACTATTCCACAGGATGATAAATCTCTCAGGAAGCTGTTCTTCATGATCAGCCTTAATTTCATCACATTCCTGTGTGCAGCTCCTTGTTTGGCCATAAAAAAATATACATGCCCACACTCTTTGGTATTTATTTCTTTAGATGTTTGTAAGCTATTATCTGGTCTTTCCATTTACTCATCACTCAGCCTACTGACAAGCTGCGTTGTTTAGCTCTGAAGAGGGAAGATTGAAATCAGCCCATTTAGCCACTTGAAGCACCGCTCCTTGCTGGGCTGGAATCTCGGCTCATCCGTTCTCAGCTAGCAAGAGCAGGCAGAAATGAGCCCTGTGTTTCAGGCATGCAGTAGGGCTGTGCGGAGAGGCTGCTCTTTGAAGCATGAAGGCTTGTTGGTTCAGTCTTCCTTGTGCTACTGTGAGTTGGGGACCCCCAGCATCCTGTGTTCACAACAGTGCTCTGAGCACACAGCAAGCCGAGAGGTGACCGCACGGTCTGTTTTCCTTATCTATTTCTGTTAGAGCTCTTTTAACTCCTGGGACTAAGAGCAGTGCTGTAAGACTGTCATAAATCGAGGTGCGCTTTCTGTAGATGGTACTGCAAACTCCTGCTTGCTGCATATCTACTTTTGGCTTTGAATATTAGAGGTCTCTGGTCTCTTGTTGAATACCTGTATTACCTTAGCATGTGCTCAGTGGTTAATGCCTTTGAATGTGGTGCCTTCTGTTTTCATTTATTCCAAGGTGTGTTCCAGAGTCTGTGCGTATACTTCTACCTCAGTGCACACAGTAGGTCTGTTTAGTTGTTCTGCCTTGTTTTGTTTGTGCTCTGAAGTGTGAGTTAACTGGATTTGCAATTAGAAACCATGGGTCTGGTCCTCAGGTCAGGCTGGGACCCCAATTGTCTTATTAACCTCATTCTCAGTAGCTTTAGACATTGAAAACAGTACAAGTAAGGCTACCTACCCACTCATCTGTTAGGGAGGGTTGATTTTTGGTTTATTCCTATTTAACCTACTGGAGATATATGCAGAAAGTTTGACTTTCTGTTTGGAGAATTTTCTTGGCACTGCTGTTGCTCCTCCTGCATCGTAGTCCTCTTTGTTCTTTCCATTATGTTAAGGATCAGCTTTGTGTTGTGTATTAGAATTGTAAATTTATGCAAATTATAGTGTGTGTACATAAATTTGTATATTACTCAGATTAGCTTAGAACTATTACCTTTCAAAAGGAAAAGATGAGAATCGAGAGAGCTTCTCTCTTCTTCATTTTTAAGCTAATGGCTATCCAAACCACCCTGATGAGGTCTGCATTCAGCCATTTGGTTCTGCTGCTTGCCCTTCTAAATCCGACGGGATGAAAGAAGATCGATTTGAATTCTTTGAAATATTCATACCGAATCCAAACTGGTAATGTAGGCAATATTATGTTCTGTATTCAAGTATAACAATGTAAGTTGGATGAAACAAATAATTTAAAAAAAAACCAAACAAACGTACAGCAGCTGGACTTTGAGAGTGTTTACCCTTGGAAAGGTTGGAAACAGGTTTCTCCAGAGAGCAGGGGCAATTTTAATCAGCAGCATCAGTGAGCAAAATGGGGCCTGGAGTGACATTGTTCCACGCTGCATCCCTCTGGGAGCAGGGAGGAAGGCGCCATATGCTGCACAGCATTTGGAAATCGCTGCCAGACAGGGCACGGTTCATCCACCACCTGTGTAATTCACCCGCAGATGATTGAGGGGTAAGTTTTAAATATGCAAAATGCAATATGGGAAGCTGCACCACCAGAGCAGATACCAAAGGCTAACAGTCTAGCTGCTGCTTATGCTAACACGCCACGCTAACCTGTCTGACCTCCGCTCGAAGCAAATGAGGAGGTGCTTGCACAGGCTGCTCCACGCGGCTCGAGGAGGCATGGCCTCTGGCAGGGGTGCTAACCTTTCCCGCGGGTGCAGCTGCAGATAAAAGGGGACGCTTGTCCGCGGCCATTGCTGTGATTGAATGGTGTTCAGACAGGCCTCCACCTGTGTAACTGCTAGTAAAACCACTGCCCTTTTTCAGGCAGACTTAGCGACAGTTTGTGGGTTTGAAACTGGGTCCATACGACTGATGCAAAGCGCTGTATGGGTGCTTTTATGTCAGGGCAAGTCTTTCGCGTTGTTCTATATTAGTCTGTTCTTAATGTACTGAAATTAGCCCAAAATAAGCGCTTCTTACACGAGTGTCGGCACATTGTACCAAGTTGAAAATACAGAGAGGGCATAAGGCACAATCCTCTCCATTTAAATGATTTTTCATTAAAAAGTTATATTGGTATGAGGGTGCCTTAGTCACTGCAGGTTGTTTTGCTTCCAGTGCCAGAATAAACTACACAAGTGTGTCCACAGAGGACAGGAGGTTTTGGCAGCTTCAGCTATACCAACACAGGCAGCGTTTCGCTGTGTTGACAAGTGTTTTACAGCCACTTTGGAGGGTGATTTCAGTGGCACTGTAACCTACAAACTCTATCGGTTTCAGAGAGCCGCAGCAGAAGCACTAAAGCTTCTCACAGTTTTTCCAGGCAGGGTCAGAGCAAACTGAACAAAGCCAGGATTTACATCTTTGGTACATCCAATTGCCCAACTTGTATCCATTTCATGCAGCTGTTGCTGTTGAGTAAACTGTGGGCAGCAGCTAGAGGTTGACTCAGGAGTTATCACATGTCAGAGGGCTGTGTTGGCTAGAAGAGGATAATAAAGTAATAGAGACGCAGCTTGATGGTAGTCCGAAACACTGACGTGGGGAGAAGGTGCCTTCTGCCTGCCAAAAACTGGGAGAGCTTGTTTGAAGGAGGCTGAAAAAAAGCCCAAATTTCCCCCAAGCAAGCATAGTGGAGTTGACACGCTGAAAATACCTTCAGCAGCCTCTGCTCAAGCACGCCAGAGGTGGCAGTTTTTCACCAGGCTGGTTTTCAGCCCTCTTAGCCTATGCTCTCTTAAAAATATTTCCAAATTGATGTGGCCAGCCTGGGTTGTCTGTGAAGCAGGTTCGGTGCTGTGCAGTATACGGGGCTTCATCCTGCAGTTGCTGTGAGACTATGATAAATACTGAGAATTTTGAGTTCCCTGCAGCTCCTCGGCTGTGGTCCTGGCTGCCCCAGCAGTTAGCACCTTAGAGCAGATCCGTTGTTTGGTTTTATCTTTGCACAGCTGCCAGACCCAGCTCTTTGGAGCAAGGTGAAATACCGAGTCATGTTATCCCACTCTGTTTGCATTTCTGTGCCTCGCTTACTGAAGTAGTTAGGAGGCTGAGTCCTTGTTTGAAGAATGTAATTTATTATTTAGCCTTGGCAGCCAACCACTGTTTCACTTGAGCCCTTCTTAACCTATGAAGGTCAGTTGGCCATATGCCTGGCACAGTCATAACTCTTAACACTGACCTAATCGGTTGGGACAGCTACAGATCCAGAATTCGTGTTACAACGACAGCATGAATGCAGTGCTACAGCCAGCAGAGCTGGGAGGAGTAGCCAAGCAGGCTCTCTGTCCTCCCGTCCTGCGGCATCGTTGTTGTTATTAAGCAATAGGTCAGATGAGGAGTTTCTTCCCCCACGTTCCTAGCTCTCCCCCACATTTGAGGACTTGCATGGCAGCGTTTCTCACTTGGATTTGGAGAGTATTCCTTAAAGCCGTTTAAATTAGTCACGGTGCCTGCTGCGTGGTGCAAGGTGCTGCTCCTTCCCCTCTTGCCCTGTACTGATTTTTCTTCACCGTCACAGCTCTCTCCCTCTGCCAGCCCCACAGAAGAGTCACCCTGGCTTTTTCATTTGTCTATAAGTCCTGCTAGTCTCACTAAAGCCCTGTTTGACACTGCTGGTAGAGGCTCCAGAGCTGGTTTTGCTCTGTACAAATTTGTGAAGGTGACCTTGACCATTTCAGTCGGGTCAGGCATTAAAAGGATTCCACTCTCTCTGTCCTTGCACCTGGAGGACAGCATAGATGATGGCAGATGAGTGAACGGGCTTAGTTTTTTGGGGTGGTTTAGGTTTTTTTTTTTGTTTTACAAATGAAAGGTTGGGGTGTCCCTTAACAATCTTTTAGGATGGGTAATAGTATATTGCACTTAATTTGTGCATTAAGGTAGTTCCAAGCTAATGGCATGGATTGTTTGGGATGTGTAGCACCACCTGTGAAGCAGTAACTGTTTTACGAATGGGGGAGAGGTAGAAAAAGTAAGGTCATCCAGTGATTTGGGAATGTGTAGTCTTAAACCCTGACTCTTTCAATTTCTAAACAAATTACAGTCCCTCTTTTTAATGAGCAAGTGAAGTATATGGCTAAAACATACCAGGTTTTGTGCCTATTTTTAAAGTTTCATTTGGTGGAACTGATTTTTGGTTTACCAAAATCTGAAATGCACTTTTCCCATCCTATCCCACCCTCCACCCTCCTTCCTTTGGGAACTGCAATGCATAGCACCTTAGCACAGGACAAGCTGTCTGGCTGGAGGCCGACTGCTTTGGATGATTTGTCCTGACTTGAATTAAACAAATCTGAGTGAGAACTTGTAAACCTTGATCTGAATACAGGTTACAAGCAATTGCTCAGAGTTAAATGAAGTGATCTGAGACAAAAAGGTAGCTGCAAGGGGGTGTTAGACCCACGTACTATCAAGATGTTCATCTTTTTAGCAGATGTCCCACCATCTCCCATGCCTGAGGAAGAGAAAGCTCCATCTCTACCTCCTGTACCTGCTCTGAAAACTGAACTGGAGCCTGCATCCATGGAGGTAAGAGCATGTTAGGGTGATTAACTTCTGTTTTTATCTGACTCGATGGGTATTGCCCAGCCCCTTTTCAGGTGCTAAGGGAGAGGTCCTGTTTGCCTGTCAAGTCTATCACATCATCCTGCTTGAAAGAATCCACCGTGTTCACTGGTTCATTCATTTTCTAGACTATTATTTAAATTCTAGCTTTTCTGCTGACAGTGCAGTTTTCTATTTTCTTCTCTTTTTTTCCCTCCTAATGGTTCTATGAATTGTGGCTTGTATTTGAATGCTCTTCCCTCTGAATCTTGGCCTCAGGAGTCAGGGCAGAGCCAGAAATGAAACCAGAGACTCTTGGTATTCAACCTTGTATTGCAGGGAAGCTGCTGCGTAAGGGTGGTGGGCTGTGATTGGCAAGAAGTTAACCTCTGAGCTGAGAAAACAGGCATAGTTTTATTGAAAGTGCAGCTGTTTGTCACAGCAGGGTTTCTGAAGTCTCGCACACCTTGTTATTTCCTCATTCTTCAGAGGTATCTTGGGGAACCCCAGTGCCACCTTCTTGCATAACTAAAAATGTTACAGACCCCAGAAGAGGGATGTGCCCCCTGTGCTGGCAGACAGGAAAGCTTGCTGTCTCCTTTAAGTTGTATTTTACCTCTCTGAAATTTGTCCTGGTAGGATGGGGAGAATTGTGGCATTAGCAAAAATGAGACTAGGATATCCTGGGAAGGGACAGAATTAGTTATCAAATCCATGCTCAGCTTCATTAGAGAGACTAGATTTCACTCCTGGGGCTGATGCTTTTATGACCTGTGTACGTGCATGGGGTCTTGACTCTTGATTTATCACAATACTGCAATGTCCTTCAGGTTTCAGCTGGAGGGAAGAAGAGGAAGCGGAAGCGTGTGCTGAAATCCAAGATGTTTATTGACGAAGAAGAAGGCTGCATGGGTAAGACACCTCAGTGGAACTAACTTTATTGAAGATGTGTTGAAGATTTTTACAGGCCAGCCTCTCCCAGGCTTTGAAAGAGGTTCACAAAATCACTTTGTTATTCCCCTTCAACCTCGTGCTCCCAGACTGAGGTAACTGCCGTTTTGGTGAAGGCCTGGGTAGGGAGTCATGGAGCTGGGGCTGAATCCTTACTCTTTTTTGATTATTCACAGATTTTCTTTCAGTTCTTCTCCCTTCCCTCCTGCCAGCATGAGCACCTCCTTCGTTTGTTCTCCTCTCCAAAGACACAAACTTTTAAAGATGGTGCAGAGAGAGGTCTGGGTTTGAGGATAAATTCTGGGTGGGAGAAGTGTGGCTTGGTTTTTTGTTTTTTTTTTTTTTCTTTTGGGGATAGATCCAGAGCTGTGCAGCAGAGCTTGATTATATGTTAATATAAACTTCAAGTATCCCAGATAAACAAGGAATAAGTTGGGGCCTAAATCCTTGAGAGGGTTTCTGTTTCTGATAAGGATGGCTCTGCTTTCAGCAGGGAATAGAGTCTCTACAGAAGTACTGAGAGCCAGAGGCTTTGAATTCCAGCCTGACTGGACACTGCTTCCTCCTGTGACCTGGAGAAAGCTGTGTACCACCACTGTACTTGTGTCCTCCTCTGTGTCCTGATATTGAAGTAGAGCTGCAGGAGTTCAGAATCTTTTTTTTTTTTTTTTTTTAAGATTTTAAAAATTTTAAGAGGGTGGAATGTGGGGTTTTTTGTAGTGCTGTTGTCAGCTCAATTGTATGGGATGCTTAACATTCTCCAGCCTTGCTGATCTGAGTAGATGTCAAGGGAGCTCAGCCAGTTCTAGGAGAAGATCTGTTGTGGTTGTACAGGTTTGTCATTGTGCATAAGCATAGATAGATACAGGCTTGCTTGGCCCAGATTTGGAGCTGCCTGGACGTGAGTCAGCTTGTGTCTGTTTGCACCTGTCTGTGTAGTTGTATCTTATGTTTCCTATTAACTTTGTGTGTCTCCTTTAAAGAAATATAAAGCTAGCACTCAGCAACTGGCTATGCTAGTAACTGAAATCTTAAGTACTGGATTATTGTCAAAAAATTGGACTTGCACAAAGTTATTGACTGCTTTGGCTAGTTGCGTTATGGGGTGTTTTGCTCTCCCATCCCAGATAGAACCATTAAAACACTTGGAAGGAAAATGGAACAAAAAAGCGTTAGCTGGGGAGTTGAGTTGAACAAGGTCTGTGTCCAGAGCTCGCAGTAATGACTGTTCCGGGTTCAGCTTCCAGCAAAGAGTGCTCTTCTCTTTCTGTTCAGCCTTTTGCAAACGTATCGGGGCTGAGAAGATTGCCTTTCTTTCTCTTCTCCCTAACCCCAAGGGGTTTAATAGTCTCTTGTGAAATCCAGACCTTTGTTTTTACAGTTCATATCCACTATCATTTTATGAAAAGGGAAATGCAAGCCCCTGTTGTGCCTTTGGGAGACAGATCCTCTAGGGAGGGAGGGATGGAGCTGGGATACTGAGGAACTGAGTAGGGAGGAGATGCTGCTTTCTGTACTAAAAACCTACCAGTCTGTTGTGGAGAACTTGCTGTCTGGTTATTGTCCAGTTTCTCTCCTCCCCTCTCTTCCCCACCCTTTCCATGCACAGGCCTAATCATTTGAAGTCTAAATAACTTGCAAATCTCCTGGGCTAATGTAAATTGTTGTTATTCTTTGAAATATAGGGGCTTTTTTCCCCCTCTTCCTGCTGTCTTTTTTTTTTTTTTTTTTTTAAACAAGGACTAGGTTTCAAGAGACATTAAATCCTAACATTAGGATTAGGCTGTACTTTATATTTCTCTGTGATTTTAAGTGATCATTTTCACAATAGCTGCAATAACAAGGAATTGGTGTCAAAAAGCAAAACTAATTTAGGGATTAGCCCTGAGGGAAATTGAGCAATTAAAGTATCTGTGGAGTTAAGCACAAGGCATGTTACCATACATCAGCTGGGACTCAATTGAGTGCCTGCTCTTAGTCTATAGTGAAGGGGAATTACTGAGGTTTAAGCTAGTGCATTTATACCTTGTACTTTCTAAAGTTTGAAGGGACACACGTGGACTTGTATATTGGAATATATAGGTGTACATTGTAGGTAAATTTGTCTTACAGCACTGGTTTAAGTAAGAGCTCATGTAATTTGAGTTATCGTGATTTAGCAAGTCTGGCTGTGAGCTGAGCACCACTAAGTATCTATCTGTGTGCCCATAGCTGCCGCAAATACAGAATTTTTAAGTTCAGATGAGATCTCAGTAAAAGAAAGTTGATCTAAACTGTGTTATCTTGCAATTGGAGGGGATTAAGTGCACACTTTTGGAGTTACCAACAGTTACTGACAGGGGTGACAACGTGATAACTTTTTAAAGCTCAGTAAGTGGCCAGTGGTCTGTTAAAGCTGCTCACTGAAAAGCCAGTTGCCTCTGAAAGGAGGTTAGCTTAGGTTTACAGTCCCTGTTTGAGCATCCGCTAGCACTGCAGAGCAGGATTTCATACCATTCCTCTTCCCGGTCTCTAGTTACGTAGAAAACCTTATTTATTTTGATGCATTAATACAAGTAAAAGCCAATTTCCCAGAAGAAGGGAAGTTAGGACATCTGTTTAAAAGAATACAGTTGCTAAAGAAAAATGGCTTACTAGAAGAATACCAGAGCACTGCTGGGAAAGCTGATATAACAACATTTACTAGTATCTAATGATGGCTTACATCAGTGGAGCTGACTCCAGTTTAATTTCCGTAAGCGTTGTTTTATATCCCTTAGCTTTCCATCACCGGATGCTGACAGCAGTGAGCTGGCAATCCCATTCAGTCATAGCCCTTGATTTCAGTCACGGGTTTGGTTTTATTTTTTGTAAGGGATTTCTTTATATTTGCCCTGTTTGCCCACCTGTATAGAAAGAAGCTGCCCCCAAGGTTTTGTGCTCCTTCTCTCATCTCTGAGATGTTCTATGTTTGCTTTACTCCTCCCCGGCTGTCTGATGTGTGCAGTGCTGGTGAGGGAAGGCTGGGTCTGTCTCTGTCTTGAAATCCAGACAAGACAACCCAATCTGATTGCTTTGGCCCCTGTAGAAATCAGACCAAGTCAGAATGGTGGGTTTTAACCATAAAATAGATGTTCTATCATCTAATGCTAAACTACGGACTTTGGTCTCATTCAGATTTATCACTTTCTGATAGCTGCTTGTCAGCCTCTGCAAGATGAATTGATGGTCTTCAGCACAGTTGGGCCTTGTTTCTAGAAGCGGGCAATGCTTGGATAGGTTTGGAGAGGGAACTCTCCTCTCGAGCCCTTCCGAGTGGGTACCCTTGGGCTGCTGCTGTTTAAGGTGTGCATATGGCCTGCAAATGAATGTGTGTGGTGACACCAAGCCATTTTGAAAGACCTGGATGACGTTAAAGGTCCCGAGTCGTTAACTTGCCATCTTACACTTAAGAAAGAGGGGAGGCAGTTTGACTAGGTGTATGGAAAACCAGTCCAGTCGTCTGGATCTACTGCATAACCTTGAGCAATGGACTGAATTCCTGTGTCTGGCGCATACTCCTTGAAACCAAAAGGCTTATTTCCAGAAACGCAGTGGGAAGGCTGCAGTGGGGAGGTCTCTGCTCTTTGGTACACAGGCTTAACCATCATCATCTGTTCTTCTCTCTTAACCAGTGACAGAGAAGGTTTACGAGAGTGAATCCTGTACGGATAGCGAGGATGACTTTGCCAAGTCCAAGCCACCAGCTGCACAGAAACAGCCTGTGCTGCCTATGAGGAAAGAACCAAAGGAAGAAAGGAAGAACCTGAAGAAAGGGGCAGCCACTGCTAACAGAGCCAACAAACAGGTCTCCATCATGGGTTTTTTTCAGAAGAAATGAACTGGGTCTTTCTCCTGGTCCTCTTGGCAGCTTGGGAGTGTTTCTCTTTTTGTGTGGCTTTCTGAAAGCTGCTGCGTTGGAGGAGAACAACATGCAATCTTCAGTTACGTAAGATATCTTGCTTACTGTGTAAGTAAGCCCTCTGGACTAGATTTTGTATCAGAGAAGAGTTTTATTTGTTACTGCAATAATTTCAATCGTCTTTACTAAGCAGTATGGGAATCACCAGCTAGAAGCAAAATCTAGAGGAACTCTTGAAAGACTGTTAATCTATTCACATGAAATTTTATTTTTTTAATATGGTCTTTCACCTGTTCAGTGCTGAAGCCTGTTCCACGAGTGGTAGATGGACTAAATTAGCAGTTGAGTTGTGGCATTTTTTTTCCCCTCTTTTTACAATCCCAGCTCTGTAGATTGATCTAAATGTTCACATTGGTTAGAAGCTGTAATGTAGCAGGTCTTCAGGCATACACACAAATATTGAACATCTGCTTCAGCTTTAACTGAATGAAGTGAACTTAATTTTCCCCCTAAGACTGCTAAATAGTTTTTGCTCTGCCTTTCATAATCTTTTTTTGGACAAAGCAGGGCATATAAAATTCTCTTACTCTTTTCTTCCTTGAACATATCCTCTGTAAATTGCTCAGATGCCTAATTATAGACTGGGACACTGTTGGTGCTCTGTCTTTGCAAAAACATCTTTGAGGCTTCCCACACAATTGGCTCCAGTGTAATTGGGGGAAGGCTTCGCTGTTATTGGGCAAGCAACTCTATCTTTAACCTTGAAAGTTAATGAGTCAAAGGGAAGGGTGATTAGAGGGCAGTTCTGATAACACCAGTGAGGTACCTGCTGTTGTTGTCTGTGAAGAATTGCATGCTGCTTTCTGGTTTTGTAGGTTTTGGGTTGCCTGAAGTTGTTTTACAGGCATAAACCAGACAACAGAAGAGTTGTTTTCTAGGACATCTCGTCATCTGCCTGCTGAAGGAAGTGTGTCACAGCGAATGGTCCTGAGGAACCAGTTATTGGAGATGAATAAAGCACTGCAGTCCCGTTAATCAGAAATGAGTCGTCATTTTGGATGCCATCTGGTTTTCTGGTGCTAAATTTGATAGTTATATGTAAAAGGGCAGATTTTCCAGAGGATGGGTGCTAAGCATTTCTGAAGCTTGGCCTGGCGAGGGCTCCTGAATGGGCAACCGATGTCATCAGCTGTTGTTTGAGTGGTGTTAGGCCGACATACGTACAGATACATATGTACATATTGGTTTATAAAGTGTTTGTGGTTGGCAGAAAGATAGATGGAGTCTGAAGAGTGTGACCAAGAAAGAAATGTCTTCAGGCACCCAGCTGAAAGTATTCTGACCTGTGGCCAGTAAAAGGGCCAACAGAGTGTATTTACACACTTGTTCTGACCAGGAGATTGGGTTGGTGACTCGACTGTCACCCTAGGCAGCTTGCACCCTGAACAGATGTGAGAGGATCTACTTAAAACCAGCGATCTCTCTTGATTTGTGCCCATGCTTGTGTCCTGGCTGGGCGGGTTCAGCTGCTCACTGCGTGGATCGCTGCTGTCAGGGCTGTTCAAGGGTAACCTCATAGCTCAGCACTCTCCCCATGTAGCTCCTCAGAAGTGTTAAGAACTTAAACTCTGGACTTTCTGAATTGGAGACTTATAATGGGAAGATGGGTGAGGGAAGGCAGAATTGGCACAGTCCTTGCAGACATCCAAACACAGAGCCTGCTGCACAAGGTGAAAAAGGTTTCATGCTCCCATGGTACGTTGGAGTGCCGTGGGCAGCAGAGGTCCATGGGGAAAGAATGAACAACCTTGTTCTGACTTTTATGAAGAAAATTTAACTGTTAAAAAAAAATATACTGCTGTAGTGTTTCTGTTTTTTCTTGGTAGAATTGGGGGTGTATTTTGAAAAGTGATGATAAGTAACAAAAACCCATTAAATACAGATTTTTCTTTTGTAGCACATCTTTTAATGAACAGCAAGGACATCCTGATTTCCAATGGTTGCTGTAACATTTGACTGCGTGGAAGAATAGCACTGGTGATGTGGGTAAAGAGTTATTCCATCAAAACCAGGGCTGGAAGCATTAAACTGAGCATTTTAGGGCATCTGAAATGTGGGTGAGAACATCTCAAACTATCAGGATCTGTGCTGAACTGGCCCCTTGAGTCTTATTTCTATGGCAGATGTTGACAGGACGTAGTGTCCTAGTGCTCTTGCACCTCACCTCTACCATGGTGTAGCTGGAGCCTGCTGCTCCACCCCGACTCCCTCTATAACCAGATCAACGTCATATGCGACTTCCTCAGGAAAATGACTTAATGTCTGAAGAAGCAGGACATAGGCGAATTTCAGACTTCCAAAAATCATGATCTAATACTCCCCACTCCTGTATTTCATGGGCTGCCAGCCCCAGGGGGGCCTCAGGTCCCTGGATGCCCCCTTGGCGAGGCTAAAGCGTCCCCAAGCGCTGTGTGGGAGCGAGGAATGGGGCTGGGTCCCCCCAGCTCCTGGTTAAAAGGAGAAGGTTCCCTCTTGCTGTCACAGGCAGATGTCACCCATTTGGCACCTGGTGGCACCGCGCAGCTCAGAGCCAGGCAGCAGCTCTCGGAGCAAGGAATGCGACTCCTGCCTCGCAAGTTGGCTCAAGACTCAGTATTGATGGTGCTCAGAGTCCAAAACCTCATCCTGGAGGTACAGAAATCAATACAGAAACCTTTTAGGGATTTCCCCTCGTCTTCCCCCTGCATCTCCCTTCCACCCTCAGAAGAGCAATGCCTCAAAAGAGGCAGCGGGAGAGGACGTTTGTTCATTTAATATTTTCTGCTAAATAATGCATTTTATAGTGTTTCTTTGGTCAGGCTCCCTGAAAGCCTTTTTTTCAGATGGAGAGAGCTTCACCCTTGTTTTCCAGGTGGGATGAGAAGCTGAAGAAGTTGCACCATCAGATATTCTGGGGTAAAACTATTGACGCACTGAGCTCCTGTCGGACAAGGTGCCTCTGAACCAGCAACTGCCTGTGCCCTGGTAAGGGGTTAGAAATGCTGCTCCTAGGGATAAAAAATCCCCATTCCTTATTCAGGAGACAGCTGAGCTGATTTACAACCTTCCTTCCCATGGGGCAGAGCCTGCTCGGGAAAAAAAAACCCTTCCGTATTTCCCGCTCTGGGACTGCCTGGCCTTTATCTAGTTAAAAAAAAAACCAACAAAAAAAACCCAACAAAACCAGAGGATGGATCCCAGGAAGCGCTGCTGGGTGCTAACCTAGGATAACAAAATGGCAAGCAGCACGGCCGAGCCAGGCAGGAGGGTGTCCTGGCGGCGTGCGGGGAATTGTTTTGCTCTCCCAACAGGCGATGCCAGCTCGGCCGCAGATACCGGAGAGGAGAGCATGGAGCAGCAGGGCCTTATAAGGAAGCAAAAAACGGCTCGGTGGAGGGGAAAAAGGACGCTTGCCAGGGCTGTACGTCAGCGCCTCGCTTCTCCTCGGCTCTGGGGTACGTGCTGCAGCACCCCGGGGTGCATACGAGGGCTGGATTTGGGGCACCCCCCCCCTTTCACGTTGAGGTCCACTTCGGTGGCAGCAGGTCACGGCGTCTGCGGCCCTCGACGCCGAGATCCCCGCAGAAGCTTGACGGTGGCTCTCCCCCCATCTGTCTCTCCCAAGCGCTGTCGCACGTGGTGGCCGCTTCAGCTGGGGAAGGATTTAAAAAGCATTAAAATCAGTGGTTAAAACCGGCCCCATGCGGTATGATGCTGCTGGTTTTATCTCGCTTTGGGTTTGGTTTGGTTTTTTTTTTCCAGAGAGCTGAAGGGAAAAGGGTTTGTGCACGTGGCACTGGGTAGACAAGTTCCCATGTCTTTTCTGTTCTGCTCCCCTTCTGAAATCGGGCTTTCCCTGCTGGGGAAGGGTTTCACCCATCCTCCCATCGGAGCAAAGCAGCTTGTAGCCATAGCCAGCAGCACGGCCTGTTGCACCAGCATCCCCAGCCTGAGGAAACTGCTGCTGAATCAGCCGATGACAGCTCCTTCGAGCCTTGGAAAAAGGTGCTGGAGAAACGGGGAGCTGGGAGAGCACTCCTGAGGAACCATCGTTTCCAGCCCCTTAGGGCTCACGATGCTTTAAAGACCTAAAATATCCTTCCTGCTACCAAAAGCTGCCAATTCACGACCCGACAACTATGCAAGGGTAAAGGCAGGCGGCTGAGATAAATTCAGGGTTATGACTTGCTTCTACAGACACTATTTCAAAGATTTTGGTGGCTTCTTTTGAGAAGATGGAGGTGGTTCTGCTGATCCTACGTGGCTTATGGGCCGGGACTGGGTTGAAGGACAGGGTTAAATGTAGGGCAGTGGGGCTGAAGTCCAAATGAGTTTTGGAACCTCCCCACAGGAGACTTTTAATCCTTGTCTCAGCTCCAAGTGTCGCACCAGGGCAGGGCAGAGCGGTCAGTGCTGTCCCTGGACCAAGATGGGCCACGCTGACTTCTGACAAGGTCCAGTCCATCACCCATCCCCAATCTTTGACTGTTTTAAGGAAGGTTATGGATGATTCTGCCTATGTTTGTGTCCCCTGGCTGCAAGACACCAGATGCTGAGTTTTTAGCAGAACTTCTTCCAGGGTTGCTGGTGCCATTATTTGATGTTTTCAGCCTATGTCCTACCAGGACCAGTACACAAATCCTGTGTCTTAATTCATGATTTGGTTTTTTTTAAGAGGCTTCCTATCTTAAACTGCATCCTCTGCAGGACTCAGAGGAGGGGGTTCAGCACCTGGAAGCTGCCTGGAGCATCCCAAAAACTCCCAGTTTGGAAACCAGGGACAACTCACCTGTGAGAACCCTGAGCTTCTGCTCTAATTTTGGAGCTGGATCTCACATCAAAGCTGTCCCTGCTTTGGGGCTGGAGACCTTGAGGGGTCCCATCCAGCATTCATGAGTCTGGAAATTAGACTGGCAGCCGTGCAAAATCACAGCAACAATATTTAAGCCCTGACGTGGTGTCCTGTGAGGTTTGGCTCTTCCCTGCGGGGTGTCTGCTGACATTGCCACTCTGTTGGGCTGCGGTGTGGCCTGTTAGATGTCTGCAACAGAAAAACACAGCAAATGATGCCCAGGTGGGGTCGAGGGATGAGTACCAGGGCACAGCCACTAACAGAGTCAGCCCAAAGAGCATCACCAGGACCTTCGAGTTGGTAGAGAGGAGCAAAGCTGCAACATGCAAGAAGGAAAAGCATCTGGGGCATTTTGGAGATGGTTTTTCTGCATCCTTCTCCCACGGTGGGTACCACAGCCCGCTCCTGTGGTCGGTACCAAGTGCAACAGCCAAGCATCCCATCCCACTCACTGAGTCATGAGCGCACCAGGACCGTGATGCTGGGGGAGAGAAGCTATTCTGCCTGGGTGCTGAACATCCCTCTGGGGTGCTAAGCAACCCCCAACCTCAGGGATGAGCACCCTGGGGCCCTCAGGGCTGAGCATCCTTCCTCAGAGCTGAGCATCCTCCATAGGGGCTGAGCACTCCCTTGGGTGCAGAACATCTCCCTGGGTGCTGAGCACCCTTCCTCAGGGCTCAGCATCACCCAGCCTTGATGCGGAGCATCCCACCTTGGTGCTAAGCATCTGGGATACTGAGCATCCTCCCTTGGGGCAGAGGGTCCCTCCATGGGGCAGGAATCCTCCCTTGGGGCAGAGCATCCCTGCTGGCGCTGAGCCCTGCAGCCCTTTTATGGGACCCCGCATCTCCTTGCAGCCACGTCTGTGGCTCGTGGTGGCCCATGATGTCCCTGTCCCCAGGAGCATCCTCGGAGCCGTGGCTCCCGCACCACCCAGCACGTCCCAGTGCTTGTTTACTCCTCACGTCCCGCCGCGTCGCTTCACCCCAGCGCTTCCTGGGCTAGTGTCTGAAAATAGATATTTTTAACCTTTTAAAAATAGAAAGTCTCGCAGAACAGCAGCTCCTGTTTTTCCATTCCCTTCTCATTTCATCTTACGGTGAAGGAACCCAAGCCGGGCTGCGCCGGGGGTGGTGGGAGCCCGGCCCCGTAAACAGGCTCCTGCA